ATATATGAGCCGCTCAGAAGCCAATGCGGTTAAGTCCATTTTTTGATATTTTCTGATTTTTGGAAATTTTGATGAAATAAATAATAATCTTAGTTATTAAAGGATTTACTCGTTGGTTACTTTTTTCTAGGTTAGACATCAATTTTTTTAATAGTTTCTGAATATATTATACAATAATTTCAGAAGCCATTGTGAATGAGTCCACCTTTTATCAATATTTTTTTACATAAACTATGAAATAAAAATTAAATTCTTCTTCTTCTTTCGATATTTGTTGGTAACACTGAAAAACAAGAAATTCATAGTAACCAGGGTTGCCAGACGTAGTATTTTTTCACCAAAAAAAGGGGTATGGTATTTTTCGTAGTTTTAAAATGTGGTATTTCTTATTTTTTTTAATTTTTTTTTTTCATTTCCTAAAACAAAGAAAAGTGCCACTTTAGTTTTGAAGTAAAAAACAATTTTTGAAATAATCCAACAGTTTATTTTCTATTAGTCACTGTATCTAGAGATGATTGAGAAAAATAAAAGTTCGTTTATACTAGAAGACATTTGCAAGACAATTTCCTATCTTTTTCAACTGCCAAAAGGTATAAGTCCTAAAATTTGTAAGATGCTGTCATTATTTCAATAAATACTTACGTTTTTATTTACACATCCTGTATATATCTTGTTTTTTTGCAGAGTTTACACCTCGAAAAAAGAGTTTATACACTTTTCCAATTAAATTAATAAACCAGGAATTTTAAAAACTAATGTATCAAAAAACATTAATTTTCTCAATTGTTGTGTTTTGGACGTAACCGCATTGGCTTCTGAGCGACTCATATATATATTGAAGTGGTTGAGAAATTAGGCAAATTTCTTAATTAGTTTCTTAATTATTGTGATGAGTTCTTATGATGTTATTATGATGAGTTCTTCATTATTAAGGAACCTTTGAGAGCCCTGCACGAACCCGAGACCCCGAATATCGTTATACGTAAAATTTAATAGTATACACTTAACTATTTTACATCAGGTCGTCGAATCTGAAATTTCTTGTACTAAAGCTGAATGTTTGTTGCTATATGTTTTTACATGTTTTTCAAAATGTTGGTACTAAACTGAATAAGTAATCAGTAGCAACCTATTCATACTCCTTTCCAAGAATTTTGATTTTATTTTCCGGTTTCAGAAAAAAAATGCTATCAAAATTATTTTGCATGGACATCATTGCTACTTCAAAAAATTCCCGATTGAGTAACGGTAAAAAGTAACGGCTCTCAGGGTGCTGGTACCTTATAACAGAAAATCCATTTTTATCGGAACATGTTACGGATCCAAGAATATCTGATATACTGTAATTTTTACATTAATGATTACCGTAAAATCACTGTATCACCCTAATTAAATTAAATATTTCTGTGATATACTGTGTAATATTTTACTGTAGAAATGGGTTTTACGATAAAATGGAGTTTAAGAATGATACACCCAAAATTCCGGTAATTTATACCGTAATTTGATCCAGACTTCCTTGCAGTGTGCTCCTTACTATCTCAATATATTCCTCATAATTTGAGTCGATTCTCTTTCCTAATATTATATTCATATTTAAAAAGAATTATTAATTTAATAACAATAGTATTAATTTCGGCATAAATATTATTGATTATTGTTCTGCATTATATATACTTATATGTTTTGAGCTTCTTTAACTCAATTCTCTAATAAACTCAATTCTTACTTAATAAACATGCTACTTAAAGCCTTTAAAGTTCTGTCAGTTTTTAGTGTTATCAGATATCATATGAAATTGAGTTTAAAATATTAATATTTTTCACCAATGGTACGATTTTTCTTTCTGATAATATTACTGGAAATGGAGTAATATTAATTATTCTGAACTTTCCTACACCGAAAAAATAAATACTCAAATATTTCACGGAACTTTGATAGATTTTGATGAAACCGTTTCCTGGTACATGCTCAGAGCGCATTTTTCGTCTAAGTGAAGAAATAACTATCCTCACTTTTTTAGGAAACGAATTTCATCATTCTATTGTCTCCTAAAGAAATGAGGGAAAAACTCTTTACACCTAATATATCTGTTCTTTCTAATAATAAAGTTATCGTGGTTGTCTTATACATACCTGCCAACAGTTAATCCTTTCGAGGATGATTTTTTAAAAGTGGTAGTAAAATGGAAATTCAATCACAATTTTAGGCAGTAACATACACTGTATTTTAAAAAAACAAACAACAACGTCTAGGCCTATGCCTATTTAAATTAGATATCTTAGTATCAGTCTTTTCTAGGGACCCCAACTAATTCGCCTGAGAGAAAATCGATATAAATTTCCGAAGCTCAATTGCATGGGGGAGACAACAACGTTAATAT